ATATGTACTATAAGTATAAATATACAGTTGATGCTGTCTAATTGGATATACTTTACTCTCTAAATGCATAAAACTTTTTGGTTTTTAATTATTAACTAAAAATGGTTTTATAACTTAAATACATATAATCTCTCTATATGCATAAAAGTCTCTGATAGATAGTATGCAATTAGCAGTATCTACAGTATTTATTAATTTTTTATAAACTATAATAATTTTATAACTTTAATTAAAAACTAAAAAGAACTTTTATTTAGTAAAATTTTTTTAAAAAAACTCATAAATTTAATTTATTCTAATAATTAGCTATTATTAGCTATATATTGTAGTGTTTTAATTCTATTCTTCAAAACTATTTATATTAAATCTACTGTAAATTACTTTCAAATATTCAGATTATTATTTGAATTGAATAAAATAGGGTTTAAGGCGCCCTTAAGGGCATGTCCTTAGAGCATGCCTATAGGCATGCCTCAAGGCCAAAGGGCATGCCCTTGTCATGTGATATATAAAAACATATTTTGATTGAGTGATAAGATTAGATACTAAATCAATATATGGGGTGTTAATAGAAACCAAGCAAATTGTTTCTAAGTAAATTTTTTTTAAACATTAAGTTAAAATATCTAAACAACTATTAAACCAAACTTGATAAAAATTTTTTTAATTCTATAACTATATATAATAAAATAAAAAAATTTTATCAAGTTTGGTTTAATAGTTGTTTAGATATTTTAATGTTTAAAAAAAATTTACTTAGAAACAATTTGCTTGGTTTCTACTAACACTACCATATGAAGTTTTTAGAATGTTGCGAACTCGCGAACTATATGTTAGTCACATGATTTAGAAAGGGCATGCCCATGGGCATGAGGGGCATGCCTAATTTTTTCCCCGTGCCCTAAACCCTAAATACAAATTATTGATTGACCAAACTTAGGCTATACAAATTTAATTAATTGTTTCTCATAACCCGGCCGGGTTAAATTTTGAAAACTTTTGAAGAAAATTTTTTATATGTTTTAATAGCCGGGTGGGGTTTCAAAAAAAAATTTTTAGAAATTTTATGAAATTTTATATATAAAATTTAAAAAAAAAAAGCCGGCCGGCCGGGTCATTTTTAAAATTTAATGTTGTGAGAAACAAAAAATTAATTTTGTATGGCCTTATATATTTTTAAAAATAAACTTGTTATATGTATTATAGATTTACTATATATATTTAAAATTAATAACAGATACAAATAACTATTCAATTTGAATTGTCAAATTTATCTAAATTAGTCAGATTATAGATCAAAACATTAATACGTGTATTGTAAATAATAATTATTTATTATTTAATTTATTTAAATATTTGTTAATCAAAATTTGTTAAAGCAGATAATTAATAAAAATATATCAAATTTTTTTAATAAAATTTTTTAAGTTTAAATAGTAACAAAATCAAACTTAATAAAGCTTTTAAATTTTAAAACAAACATAATATTGTGCTTAGTATGATTATTAAATAATTGTCTATTATGCAAAATTTGAAATTTTTTTAATTTTATTTTTTTACAAATTATCACAAAAATAACAATCTTAAAGATTTTCTGTTATATACATTTCAATTTTTTAATATAATATCATCTGATATATTAGATATTGTTACTGGTTAACTAAATAGCAATAAGAATTTTCAGTTTTATTTGTCTAAATTTTCACAAACTTGAGTGAAAATAGCCTGATAATGTTTTGTTTATTTTAAATATATATTCAAAGCTATTTGCAAATATTACAGACTAGTAGAGTTCGAAAATTGGCATTTAAACATTGAAATTGACTAGATTACTAAGAAATCTTTAAAGTTTGAAAAAATATAGCCAATATTAGAACTTGATATTAGAACTTGAAATGCGGTCTCGGTATATAATATACTTAATAAGAACATCGACTAAATAATTTTTAGCCAATCACAAGCTTATATTCCAAATTTTCAGATTCCTGCGTGTTGCGTGTTGAGTGATGCATGAAATTTTTCACGTAATCACATTAATTTGAAAAGCACGATAAATTTGGTTAAGCTCTTGTTATTATTGTTGTTTAAAGTTACTTAAAGCGTTTCTATCAACTGTATTTCAAATCATTGTAGTAATGTCGGCAGTATGCTGATCGTAATCATTTTCAGTTGAAATGATCGATCATCGCAAAACGTGCGATTACCTTAAATGCAAAATCTCTGATCGCAAGCTCAAATTCTGGTCCAACTATATACTTAACATTCATAAATACAATTTTTTTTGTTGTCTTTAAATGCATGTTGTCAAAAGTCTAGTCCGTGCAAGCTGCATTTAGGAAGGTCTGAATGTATTAGTTACTGCTAATCCAATTACCGTAATAATCGAAAAATATATATATATATATATTTTTGTCTCTTTTTTATTAAATAAAAACATTTTTTTTTTTTAGCCATGCAAAATTTTTTTTAAAGCAGGACAACTTGAAAGTACATAAATCAAATCAAAAATATGCGCTAAGGAATACTACAAATAAATACAACATAGTCGTTTTATATTCATGCTGTTGTACTAAATGTTCTATTATCATAAGCATTTTTTTGTTTTTTTTTTTTCAAGGATTCATTCATTTAATAATATCCAGGATTAATCATTCCATCTATAGAATACATATTAATGTCAGCAAGTTTTCAACAAAAAAAAATGTTAAACTTCGAATTTCCAACTTAAACTTTATTAATACTTACTAAAAACTGGATAATATAAAAGTTCTGACTTCTTAATAACAGGAATAGAATCTTTCGCCATCTTCCAAAAATCAGCATCATACCAAGCTTCTGGATTTTCAGGTAATCCAAGTACACAAAATCCTGGATTTCTTGCAGCATATTCCGCCATTAATCTTAAAAAATGTAACTCTAATGCTTTATCCATCGTCATCTCACCACCAACATTACAAAATTCCATCATACAAATAGGTGCATCAATATTTTGTAAAAGGATTTTGAGTTGAGTTACCGAAAAATTTATGCACATTCCTAAATATTTGAGGCAAGGTGGGAATGAGCTAGCAAGACATTTAAGAGATTTTGTTTCCCATGAATGTCTATTAACACCACAACTGTTTGATATCATCCATGAACGTTGTCGTGAAGAATTACTATTACTCTGAACTATTACTAAATGTTCAATACTCGGTAAATATTTAAGTGTAGTGCAAAGCGAAGAAAGATCGATAGTATTAATAATTGTTGATAAATGTGTTAGATTTCGACAATATTCAACAAGTATTTTGCAAAGTTTAGGTGTTATACATTCTTGTAATGAGAACACTTTTAAATGACGATTTGCTAATCGAAGTAATAATCCTACAAAGTTATCCAAGATTTTTCGATCTGATCCAACATCGTAAATTAACAATTTTCTAATGAAAATTGGAGGCAGAGTGTCCACATTAATCTTTGTAAAGTCATCAATAACTTGTGGTCTACATAATACCAAAGTATCAAGATGAGTCCATGAGTTAAGGATGGGAAGAAGTTCTATAATCGTGGTTAGATTATTGATTCTTAAATATTTTAGGTGACTATGAATTGATAAACACAAAGTATTTGAAATGCTGGAATCCCACCGGCCATCAAATTCCAATGTTTCAAGGTTACGTTGCTTACTAATTAATTTAGATAGTAGTGGAACTATGGGTTGAGTTTCAAGCAAACTTGGCATATTAATCGCAATTTGCCTAATAACCGTTGAGGATTCTATAACCTTGTTGAGTAAACCTATAATTTTTTCTTCAGTGACATTGTTACTCGCAATTTCAATCCAATAAGTTAATTCAAATCTTCGAAGATTATGTAATACTTGGCCAGCTCTTACGTAAGAAGCAAAATCCGGGAAGCTACAAATGAGGTTTCCTTCTTCGTCAAAATAATTATTGTATTCTTGTTCTAATTTCAAGAACTCCAAGCTGTGAATATGATTTAACAGGACGCTGCTAAATAATTCGATACCGTCTATCACTCTTTTGAGACTTTGAACATTGTCAAAGGGAACGGACCACCATTTTTGAACGGTTTGTCTGAAATTTCTCGAATCAAAAGCTCGAAGATATTTAAGATAATCGAATAATGGAGTAGGAAAAGGAGGAAACCAGTGTTTCAATTTTTTAGATAACATCTGTCTTTCATCAAGTGTCAAACAGGATAAATATGAATGGATTATGCTGGTTGCAGCTTTCTTTCCAGAAATTATATGTTCGAATGGTCTACTCCATAATAGTGGGACTACAAGTCGACAAAATAGTCGATTGGTAAGAAGACAAGAGTATAGTGTTGCGCGATCATTTTTTAGTTGGTATAGAATATCAGCAATACAATCTGATGTTAACATTGGTGAGGGAGAAGGATTACGAAGGCTTTTAACGGACTTCATTTTTTAAAAATAAGAACCAGTATGAAAACAATATCTAATTATTAGGTATTTTTTGTCATTATATGAATTGACAATAATGATTATGCAGTAACCTGCCGAATCTGCATATTAAACCATTACAAAAGGAAACATTTCGTCACGATTAACGTTCTTCACGTGATTTATACCACGATGTCTGTGTGTTACTGTATTATCTAACCTTATTGATGCACATTACACGCATACATGTTTATCTAATCTCATCATATTAATGAAATACTCAAACTCAACAAGAAGCTCGAAATTAACATAATTAACAGTAGCGATAGGAATGAGCCCGCGTATTAAAATGCTATGCATTAAATTTAAAAAATGCTCGATTTGCCCATCCCCGGAAAAGATTTAAATTTCAAAAGCTTTTTTTATTTTGTAAAAAAAAAAATAAAACATTTATAAAACATATTTAAGAATAAACCAAATTTAATATAGAATGATCTTTAAAGAATACAAAAAGCATCAATCAATGTAAATTATCGAGAAACAATTTCCTTGAAGAAAATATCGGTTCGAATTAACTTTAGAAAGCATATTAATTATGTTCATCATCAAAATTCTCAAAATCCCAATAAAACAAATTGTTTTCTGTGAAAAAAAACTGATTCGAATTAAATATTGATCAAATATTTCAAATATTTACGAATTCTCAAATATTAAGATTTATTTACCTGCTGGGTGTTTATTCTTTCCAACATCTTTATGATAATCTGTCCTATATTCACCTTGGATATCCGCTTGTCTTTGATCAGATGAAATATACCATTCAAACTGATTTTTATTTTTCGAAAGATCACTTTTTATGTCCAAAAAAAAAAATAATAATAATAATTGGGAATCGTTAGTGGGAACGTTAACCAATAATAATGTAAAAGTAATTTATTACCTAGGACCGGCATCAGAATATCCGTACGAATAAATGTTGTTTGCAGGTTTTGAAAAATATCCAGAGGTCGGGGCTTTAGAAGATTCATCGTTCACTGAATACTTTTCGATTAATTCTTTTTTAAGGGTTAAACCTTTTTTTAACTCATCGTAACTATTGGCCAATTTCTCTCGACGATTAATTGCTTCTTGTTCCATAGAATCAAGTTGTTGTTTGTACATATTTATTTTTTTAGTATAGGATGCGCAGGAATCGCATGTGATGGATTGACCTTCACGCGTTTCATGTGTTTTATCAGTTGAGAGTTGCCAAGAATCTGTAGTGGAATTTTGTAAAGGTTCGTCTATAAGATCTCCAAAATCTATAAGATCATTTATTGGAGTCGGTTGTAAAACTGGAGAAGGATTTTCTAAATCTATCTCTATGATTATGTTTGCGTTTTCGTTGTTTTCATCCATGTTTTATTTTTCTTGATAGAGATACGGTTATGATTTATATTTTATAATTACATAATGACGTCATCGTAATAACCTTATTTAATATCATTAACAAG